TTACAATTTGGCACTTTGCCTCAATATGATTCACGGCATTTATAATTCAATACCAAGTTTTCAACAACATGAACTGAAAGGTAATTCATCAAGGAACAACACCTCTTTTAAATCACAACTTCAGAAAATAAATAGATTCATTCATCTTATTAACAAAATTTCCCATTTAAAATATCCGTAGATAACATCAATAATGAAAGTATTTTCCATAAAAATGGCATCTCAAACAAACACAGAGTTCACATAAAGGTCAAGTGGCAATCACACCAAAGTATCATATAAAAACAACCTCGGCAAACAAGGAATAAGGCATGTCAAATAAGGGATTTAATAAATTCCAACAATTTTCCAGTTTAATACATAAGGATGTCTACGAATTTTAGCCGATATAATTTGCATATATAAACCAAGTACGTACTCGTCACCTTGCGTACATGGTATGCCTAAGCGGAAATTCCCCCACACAAGGTTAGGCAAGATACTTACCTTTTTGAAGTTAGGCTGATATTCCAAAATTGCCTTCTTGCTTGAATTTACCTCCAGACAGCTCAAATCTATCCAAATTAATTGTATAACTCATTAAAATTCATCGAAAATAATTCCAGATAATAATAACGTCGACTTAAAATTTCATATTCAAAAAGTTAGCCAAAGTCAACGCGGGGCCCGTCTCTCGGAACCCGACAACATTTTCATGAAATCTGAACACCCATTCTGATACGAGTTCAACCATACCAATTTTATCAAATTCCGACAACAACTCGACCTCCAAATCTTAAATTTTCGTTTTTGAAAGATTTGCAAAAATCCCATTTTCTTCCGGTTGATTCACTAATAAAAGATGAAAATAATCATGGAATCATGAAATATAATGAAAACCGAGTAGGAAACACTTACCCCAATCAATTTGGTAAAAATTCTCTCGAAAATCGCCCAAATCCGAGGTCTAAAACTTTAAAAATGAACAAAAATGTCGGACTCCGGACATATATATTCTGTCCAGGTAAGTCACATCTGTGAGATGCGACTTGTCTCAAAATTTTCAAGCCAAAAACTGCTTTACCAGCCTTCATTCAATCGATCATAACTTTTTGTACAAATGTCCAAATGATGAATGATTTAACTTTTATGGAAACTTGAATCAGAGGACTACAACTTTCACGTTTTGATAACTTTCAGATTCCTTATAGATTGCGAGATATAAGCTTCCAAAATCGGCTCCACGCATCAAAAATTTCGTGATTACAAAACTGCTTTACCTGCCTTTTTTCAATCGATCATAACTTTCTGTACAAATGTCCAAATGATTAATGGTTTAACTTTCTGGAAACTAAAATCAAAGGGCTACAACTTTCATGTTTTGATAATTTCAGATTATTTACCGATTGCGAGGTATAAGCTTCCAAAGTCGACTCCGTGCATCAGAAATTTCTGGCGAACAGCTTCTGCAACAGAAAATTCCAGCAGCTCCCTTTGTCCGAAGCTCATTCCGTTAACCTTTCGAAATTCACCCGAGGCCCTCAGAACCTTAACCAATTATACCAACATGTTCAAAAATACAATACGAACTTAGTCGAGCCTTCAAAAACCGTCAAACAACGCCGAAATTACGAATCGCGCATTGAATCGAATTATGAGTTTTCAAATCTTCCAACTTCAATATTTTGCGCCGAAACGTATCAAATCAATCCGGAATGACTTCAAATTTTGCACACGAGTCATAAATGACATAATGGAGTTGTTCTAATTTTCAGAATCGGGTTCCGACCCCAATATCAATAAAGTCAACTCCCGGTCAAACTTTCTAAAAATCTTTCATTTTCCAACTTTCGCCAAAATGCGTCAAATTGTCCTATGGACTTCCAAATCCAAATCCGGACATACGCCTAAGTCCGAAATCACCATACGAAGCTATTGACATCATCAAAATCTCATTCCGGAGTCGTTTGCTCAAAAGTCATACTCCGTCAACTCTTTTCATTTAAGCTTCAAAAATAAGGATTGTTCTTCCAATTTAATTTCGAACCTTCCAAAACCAAACTCAACCGCGCACGCAAGTCATAATACATATTAAGAAGTTGCTTGGGACCTTAAGTCGCTGAACGAAACATTAATTCTCAAAAAGACAAATCGGGTCGTTACATATATTCAAATGATTTATAATCTTTTATTTAAAGGTATCCCTAGAAGTACTTGCAGATCTGATATTTTTAGACTTCATGGACAATATCAGACATACATACATTATTTGTTTGACCACCTTCCTTGTAGAGTTTCTCTAACTTCTATATTGGCCATGCTGTTAATTAAAATGATTGTTTGACAATTACATGTCATTGGATATATGATAATTGTTGTATGCAAAAACGTATTATCTCTTTTAAATATGATGAAGATCAGAGTCACACTGCTATTTTTATAAGTACTACTATTTGCGAAGTTGTTGCATTTTACAATCTTAATAAAAAGTATTGTGTATGTCTTTTGATAATGCTTCTAACAATAATGCCGCTATTTCAATTCAAGACTGCATTTGCAACCACCACTTGACGAAATTTTTCGTGTTAGGTGTGCATGTCATGTTTATAATTTAATTGTTAAAAGTGACATTGATTTATTTTCGACTGAGATTACTCATGTTAGAAGAGTTGTTGGTATTATTCAAGGAAATAATAGACAATCTAAAATTAGGGAATTTAAGACTAAGTGTACCGAACATAACCTTAACACCAGATTCATGCCAGATGAAATTGTTACTAGATGGAATTATACATACTTATTTTTAAGATGTTGCTACAAATATAGATCGCATATAACTGAAGTTGCTAATGCGCATTGTAATGATCCAAACTGTATGTTAACAACTAATATTTGGGAGGCCATTAATGATGTTGTTAAATTTTTACATAAATTTTATACAGCTATTGTTGAGTTCTCTGGAGCATATTACCCTACTGCTACTATGACTTTAGTACATATAGTTGAAATTTCTTTTCTACTCTCTGATTTTAAGAAGAAAGAAAAATATAAGGATATTGTTGAAAAAATGCAAGCAAATTTCAAAAAATATTTCTTTCCAATTTCTCCTATTTACTTAATTGGTGTTGTTTTAAATCCTTCCATTAAGATGTCTAAGTGTCACCAACTAATCAATGCTTTATATACTTATATGGAGATTGGACCAATTGAAACCCCAGATATATATTGTTGTATGAACAAGCTAAATGATTATTTACAACAATTATACAATTATTATGCAAATATAATTGATGATGATGCTAATAATGTAGGCAATGTTAATCCCACTTTTCATTGTACTACTTCTACTACATCTGCTGCTATGGATGAAGATGAAGGCCTTGATGGTTTTAATATTTAGTCTACATTTCCTTCCACTCAAACCATTAGCAGGAACATTGATGAACTTCAATTCTACTTGCTTTGCAAACAGAGCCTCGCACAAATGAATTTTCATAGTTGGCATGGTGGCATGAGAACGAGAAGCAATTTTCTGTTCTTTCCGCAATGGCTCGGGACGTGCTAAATATGTCAATTTCAATTGTTGCATCAAAAAGTGCATTTAGTCAAGCAAGACAACAACTAGGAGACACCCGTCACTCATTGGGAAGCAATGCTTTGGAAGTTTTAGTATGTTTCAGAGATTGGATTAGATCGGAACGAAGAAATCAAGGACGTGAAGATGTTGATAAACCAGAAGACGAGGAACTTGGAGATATATTAACACATGGTAACCCACCTGAATTTAACACTTCAAAAGATGGCCAAGAAGTTCATATGATTATGAAGAACTTACTAAGGCAATGCAAAACCTTTGAAGTTTGAAGATTATATTTAATAATTCAAATTTGAATTTACTCTTTTTTCTTTAATTTAGTTGTTGTAAAATATAAACTTTAATTTGCAAGTTTGAATTAAAAAAAGGACTTGCAAATTATAAGTTAATTTTTTTTTCATCTTCATTGTATTATCTTAAATTCTTAATCAAATATTCAAATATAAGGCTTTTAAAGCCTTTGAAGTTTTATAAGGCTTTTAAAGCCTTTGAAATTTATTCAAACACTCTTTTTATAAGATTGTTTTTATGTTTTACATTTTTATTTTATCTTAATATAAATTACGATAGTTATACATAATACACAACAATTTTTTTTTTAAATAAAACCGTCCCGGTTCCAATTTTCACTGTCGAGGCTCGGACCAGTAAGACCGGTATTTTGAAACCGGTAACCGGACCTGTACCGAGACCGGTCAGTCTCCTTTTCCTCTAGCCCGGCCCGGCCCGGCCCGGCCTCTTGACACCCATAGTAGCTAATACAAAGAGGAAAGGAGACATTTGGTCACCTTGTCTCAGAAGATATTTTTCAAAAAATATTTTCCATGAAATATATTATCCTAGAAAGTAATTTTGAAAAATATATATCTATATTAAAGACTAATAATAGTATTAGCAGTTGAATAATATCTTGATGAAATTTTAAGTGATAAAGATCAATAAGCAATGTCGTTGGAGATTTGGAGCAGGTGAAATTACAAGTTTTGGTAGGAAAATAACTTTTTTCAATGAAAAAACGTCCCCCCCCCCCCCCCCCCCTTGAAAAACATTGTCTGCTGACCAAACACCAGTAAAAGACTTCCTCACAGAAAAGTATTTTCTTGAAAAATAATTTCCACCATATCGAACACAGCTAATAACAACAACGAACCCAGTGTATGCCCATAAATGGGATCTGCGGAGGGTAGTGTGTAGGCAGACCTTACCCCTACCTGATCGAACACAGCTAATGCTAAAAAAAATTATTTGATCCAACAGTAGTATGTGATCTTTGGTCTCAAAGATGTGGGGAATTCAATGCAGACCATGACCGAGACAAACTTGTCACTTCTCAGTAGACATTGATCACAAAAAGCATGACCAAACGAAGTTGTTTAGGAATCACAGAAAACAAAGTAAAAGAACATTTTAGAGAAGAAGCAAGAAATGACAACAACTATAGACACTATTGATGGATCAGAAAGTAGAGTTATTCTTACATGAGCATCTGTAATACCAAAATTTTATATGAGCAAAAATTAGTGCTTACAGTCATAAACTAAAAGTTGCTACTTGCCAAGATACTAAAGCAACGAAATTTCAGTTCAATTCTAGGATAAATAGTATACACACAATTATAGCTCTAAGTTAAAAGCAAATGATCGCTGGAGCGGAAGCAATTAAGAGTCCTACTGCTAACTGGTGAAGGATATCAACCAAATCTGTATTTAAGTATCAGGATAGAATGACTATAACCTTGACCAGTGTTCCAGGGTTTTATTGCATCATCCCAAAAAATGTTAGCTGGTTTCTGGAGATTGCTTTACTGATTCATTCTCCTGAAAATATAGGTGGAACAGATAAGTCGGTCACCGTCCTAGTTCTCGAAATAAATCATCTAAAGAGGATATGCTTGAGAGACAATGTCTGAAGCAGTTTAAATCCAAAATAGAAAAATACCATATCAAACAGAATCACTCCCAGAAATCTGAAAAACTATAATCCCAGGAAGGTCGTAAGGGTCTCCTACAGCACAAGCTTGACCAAAAGAGAAATAATAACAAATTAAAAATGAAAAAAGGTTCTTCATAGACATGGAACTTCTAAATAAAAAAAATTAGAACACCAAAAGTGTTATTAGTGGCAATCTTGTATTCTAATATTGTATATTTCTATCACTACATGTTGTTCCTTTCGCCTTGTTTTCTTTTATATTGTTCTCGTTACTGCTTGTTGCTACTGCTCTATTCTAATTCTTCCTTGTGTCGAGGGTCTAATGGAAACAACCTCTATCTACCTCCCCAAACCCCACTTGTGGGACAATACTGGGTTTGTTGTTAATGTCGGAAGGACCTCACTTACACGGTATTGTGCACTCCTGTCACCACAAATTTATTTGTCATGCAATTGGGTAGTTAGGAATTTTGCTCGCTCACAACCAGTAAACAGAGAATTTGAAAGCAATTAAGTGGATGAACTTTCGCACCATAATAAGCTATAACTAAAGAGGTGCCAGTAATGGTCTAAAGTCTAAACTAACACATGTTGACTCTAGGTAGTTTTTCAGTTGTAAAACTAGATAAACCCCATAATATAAGAATGAATGACAATCCAACAAGAGAGTGAGGATACCTCTTTGGGGTGGGGCCGGGCCGGGAGGTGGGGGGGGGGGGTAGTTCCCTTTTGAGGTGGGGGAAGGGGGGTAAGAAAGTTTCTAATACCTGCTGAGTGGCTTGAGCCCTAGATAAGGTCTTCAGCTGGCAGTTTTCCATGTTTGAGAGCAGCTGCATTACAGTTTTCAGCTGAGGAACACTGCAATCATTAACTTTGACATGAGAACAGTTGAAAATTGAGTGATCAAAGACAACTGACTTATGGAAGAACGGTTCTTCCATCTTAAGGAGAGCAATTTGCATTGCCATTATGGAAGTATGAGTTATGACTAAACTAACATCAAATAGACTGATATCTGATCTCGTCTTGAATCGCCTCTTCATCATCATTAGCTGGTAATCATCTCTTATACAAGGAATTGCACTTAAACTTGCCCTAAAGATGGTTCAAAGTAACTACTACAGTAACAAAGCTCAAAAATGAAAGTGGATTGACAACAACATGAACAAGACCGATCAAAGTGTTCCTTTTCAAATATTGGATATATCTGTTAAGGAGTTATTATTGGACATATCTGTTAAGGAGTTATTATTGGACATATCTGTTAACGAGTTATTATTGGACATATCTGTTAAGGAGTTATCTCAGCCAATGAGTACGCCACTCTCCGTTTACAATGTAAACAAAGATTTACCTAAATTGCACCATACTAGGAAATATAGAAGATGAAGAACTTGACAGATCAACCTTCACCTTTTCAGTTATGCCAAATATTTGGTGTCAGTCAAACCATATTCCGGCTAAAGGAAAGAAAAATGTATTACTCAGAAGCTTGATGTGCAGTCTGCGGTCAATTTCATCTTCTTCCATCTATCCATTAATCTTCATCCTTTAGATTTTTATGAAGCTTACAAGTATGGAAAGATTGTAATCTTTAAATTTAGTTATCTGGTTAAATGATGCCAAAGTATTAAATCCTCAATATCAATACTCAGGTTGTTATTCTACCAATTCTCGACATACAAACCAAATATAGGAAAACAGAATAATCATCATTATCCACCAATCACCATAACCTTCGAAAGCTCCTTTTAGGCGCTTCAAGTTTTACTTTTAAATCTCAAAAGAACCTTAATTTTCTTTTTCTATTTTTCTTTGTGATAGTTAAGAACTTGAATTTCTTTTTGAAGCTGCAAAAGTTCTACTTTACCCTATTAAACACAAACCTTAATGGTTAAACATGTGAAAGTCCATGCAAGTTTGGAGTAATTTATTGAAAGAAAGTTGTAAATCACACATTAATGCCTAACTTGCAAAGATGAGGTGCTATGCAACCCTAACAGACTAGACGCACTTATTTATATTAAGACCTCATTCTCTTTAGACTTTACACATAATGCAAATCTTTCCTCTTTCCCCTTCCTCTCGCGCTACAAAGAGAGCTGTTCAATGTAAACTTTTCCATTGGTGCATTACCTAATTAGCTCCAGACCCTGAAGCAACTTTCTTTTTCTGAAGTAAAGGCCAGGTACACGTTTTAGCGGAAAATAATTTTCTGAGTAGTGATCAGCATACCAATTACAATCAATCCTGGATCATTTAAGCCTTGACACTGTGTACAAACACCGAGATGCATGTAAAATGTCTACTTTGAAAGAAAAAATCTAAAGAACAAGGTAACTTCGTCAACCATTAGTTTGTAATGCCATGAATGGGCGAAAAGGCTAACCTTTGTAACCCGTTTTCCATATGAGCATCCAATGCTGAAATCACCTGAGGCAACTGCTCCAATACCTGCAACGAGTAAAATAAAAGCAATAGAAGGCTTCCTCCGGGTTCATCTTAATTAAAACTCATAAATTATAACAATATGAGGTCCTGCATACCAGCTCTGTATTCTTGATTGTAGGTGTCTTAGCAAAAAGAGTCTTTGGTAGCTTCATCAGTTCGGCCTGAACCAACATCGAGAAATCTATCAGCGAGGCAGGTGGTAGACACTAGGGCCACAATCAATTTAAACATCCTTAACCAGAACATTCGATCAAAAGCTTTAAATGATTTAGAATTATTGAAAATTATGAAGATTGTATAGAACAATATTCTTAGTGGAGTGGCATCTCACAGCTTAGAATGTCTCGAAATGTAAAGAGTGTCATATAAATTGAAATGAAATGGATAGGGCAATACAATAGAGGTCAAATATACAGTGATACATAGAGCAAAGCTGGAAGTGATTCGACAAAAATCCCTAATCAGAAGCTTATTGCCTTGAAGTTCAACTATAATCTTGATTATATATGGAGCAGCATATAGCATTTTTGGGCATGATGATGAAGACACTTTAGCTATTAGAGGAAAAAACAAATAATCCAGTAGCTATAAGAACACAAACAAACAGATTAATAATTAATTATTAGAAAATGACGGATTTAAAAAAAAAAGGAAGTGCCTGAGATGGGGAGGACTGAAGCATGAGATGGAGGAGATTGGAAGTGGACTGTATAGACTGAGTGATTTGATCAGCTACCATCGTTTTCGCTGACCCATCTCTGCTGCTGCTGCTGCCGCCAGTTTTGCCGGTCGACGTCGACGTTGCCATCCCAACTTCTCTTAGTGGATACCCGGTCTGCTCTTTTGTTTGTGCAAATTCCCGCAAAGTAAAATAAATACCCCAATAGAAAAACATCTTCACCTTTACAGCTTGTTTGGATGGTTGTTTCTGGTTGTATCTTATTGTATTGTTATCCCAAAATAATGTTTGATTTGATTGTTTCATTAAAATTGGTTGTATTATATTATTAAATACATTATTCCATAACAATGAAAAATCCTATTTTTTTTAAACAACCGATTTGGTGTGGTGGGATTGTTTCCTATTTTTCTTTCCGATTATGCCCTAACTTATTACTCCACAATTCTATTTTACCTTTTTTTTTTCTTTCTATTTTAACTCCAAATATCCAACCTATAACCTACTTTGTTTTTTTTTCCAGACCAATGCTAAAGGTGTTTGCCGCCTTCTGTTTTATTTTTTCTCCTAATTTGCTTTTAACTCAATTCTAGTTAGCTATGCTACTTTGTTTTACCTTCTTCTGTCTCGCTCCTTTGTTCTGCTTTCTTAAGATGTTTTGCCTTCTTCTGTTTTGTTTTTTCAAATAATTTTTATACGTAATTTTTGATAAATTTAATATTTAAACAATTGAAGGTATTTTAGTAAATTTATCAGTTACAATATAGTACGATACAACCAAACCAAATAACAAAATATTATTTAACAATAATAAACAATACAATTTATCCAAACATTATATTCATAAAACGATACGATACAGTACGATATAATACGATACAATACATTGTAAAACGATCGGAACAATGATCCAAATAGAGTGTTAGTTTTCATAACAGTAATCACTTTTTCATTTCTCCTTTTACCTTACCAACTTTTGTTTTGTACAGTTATTTTTACTTATTTATTACTCTATTTAAATAAATAAAAACTTATTTATTATTAATTAAAATATATTACAATTCGAACAATATACCTTTTCAAAATAATAAGCTCTTCTGATTTACTATTTTTATTAATATCTTTTTGCCGAAATTCATCCAGAGAAGAACCACCAAGAAATGAGATGTGGGATGAAATTACTCTACTCTTAGTTATATGGTTAGGGTTCGAGCACAAAAAATGGTGAAACTCTTGAAGCGCAAATCCGGATAAATATGATCAGTGTTTTCTTCATTTTACATCTCATGTTTGATGAAAATAGTGATGGGTGAAAATCATTCTATTCAAGACAAGACATATGGACGGTATGCGTATCAAAGAAACAACTAGACTAACACAGACAATCAATTTGCAAGTATCCGACAACAACTAAGATGTCTAAAAACTGACATTCTTCATCGCTCATAGACTTGTATAACTGGCATTGATCTCTTTTATATATATATATATATATATGCAATATCTGCACAGCAGTTTTCAATGGTAAAACAACCCCCAGAAGCATCTGATAATAGAAAAGTATCTCCCGGAAGCACATAAAGTTGACAAAGTTTCACAAAAATTATTGCAGCAGTTATAGTGGCACTACTTCTATACAAGCAAATATGAAGCTAGCCGAGATATGGCACGAAATCCCGGTGACAGAAAGGTCGGATAAACAATAATTTCCTACAAAAACATTCTTCATCAAATTACGGATTCAGGAGCATTACTCCCAAACCATAAATGAAAAACAACTTCTTTTTTCTTTTTATTTGGTGATAAGGTAAATGAAAAACAAGTTTATGTGTAATACAATCCTGTTGAATTCAGGAAAACATTCAGGAGTAGTGCATATTGACAGGAGGAGATATGCTAGAAGCAGTATCCTGGAGCTGGACCATTGATCTATTTGAGTGCCACAATAACTTTCATAATAGAGATCAGACACTCAGGAAATGCAAGTCCCCAAAGCAATTCAGAAGAATAGAATTAGACACCACTCTTCTCGTAAGAGTAGTAGATAAGAACGACCAGGAGAAAAAATATAAAGAATATAGGAAAGGAACACTTCCAAGTCTCAATGATCTGCCAAGTTCAACCTGTTGGAATACCAATCTCTTTCCAGCCCTTTATGGATCTTACTAGTTTGCAACTTCTTCATCAAAAACGATACTTCACATGAAATTCCATCCCCTTTGCCCCACCACTTGTCGAAAGTAGGAGAAAAAGTAAATCCAACATTCAGCTAACATACTCGATATTACACTAACATTCCCCTTGAAATATGTACCCATGAGAAGTACACTAAAATAAAGCAAACAATTTTGTTGCACGGTGCTGAGGAATTTGATAGTTGGTTAGACTTGAACATCAATCTTGCAATCTTTGCACATCCCAAACTGCTATCCTCATCATGATTTAACATATTTGGCTCATTTGGTCATGGTATGGGCGTATTATAGATGACCATAGTTTGAGAGAGGACACTGTCATCAACACGTGACTTGGTGGCCAACAAAGGGAGGGTATTGCATAGAGGAGATCGGCTTTAGAGTAGGGTGAGGTTGCTTGGGATAAGTGACTGCAGTTATTTCTGAGTTCAGTTGGAGTTGTAGCACCTACCCATTTGCACAGCAAGGAAAGGGTACAGACGGAAGGGAACAAAAGACAAAGCTGGTACAAAGATGATTTCAGAAAATGGAAAGAAGTGGAATTCCCATTCAGAGAGTGGGTGTCAGCAGCTGTCTGATCCACCACGGCCACCAGTGTTTCTCTGGCGAGGAGAGATCTCGTCCTAGACCTTTATTTTTTCAATCAAAACCACAATGACAGGAAGTGATATCTTCGCAGTTTTATCATAACAGAAGAAATAAGGGGATTGTAGCATTTTCAAAAAGACCATTTTCAGTACCAAAAGCAACCTGGTATGAGCCCATAATTGAACTTCTAATCTGTTTTACTATTACAATGCTTAGGTACTACTTTTTGTTGATAGAAATCTATGCATGATGAAAGGCTTTACATAAACTCACAAACAGAATGAGCAAAGAAGCAAATGTAGTCATCTCTATTTACTAAAAAAACGAGAAAAGAGATGCTTCTTCAAGAGAGCTGAAAACTTAAATGCAAGGTATAGATATTTCAACTACACATTTGTCATATTGCTTTCCAATAGGGACTAAATGAAGATGAAGCTCAACATTTTCTAATATTGTTTTCGCAACTTGTAGATTTAGTCAACAAATATCTTATTGTTTTGTAATTCAATCTCGTACATTTCCTCAAGTTGGTTTCCCAAAAAAATCAGCTTCCCTTTATGAGTACTCCCAATATCATACAGTAGTAGCTTATGTCGTTGTCTTACAAGCATGTTCATGTTTGATATGCTCCTTTTTCTCCCCCAAGTTGACGAGTGAAAATGTTCTGTGTCTATCAAAAAACCAGAAAAAACTAATATCCCTATGTCTATATCCAAATGTTCTTGTTACTTCTAAATGAACTCAAAAGGAAAATAAAATGGAAAAGCAATCGTCAACCTATAAACAATTTGAAACGGTACTTGCAAGAGGAGGGCCTGAAGCCTTCTCGATATCTAGAGAGAGAAGCAAAACTATAAATTCTTCATCAATCTAACCCTCCTGAAGGAGATAGGTATCGCGCTTAAGTTACAGCAAGCTCATTCACATATACATTGCATACTAAGAAAGAAAGTAATTATTAACTATTTACTCGAGCTAATTAGCAGACAATTCGAACCTCACGTTGAAGAAGCAGCCCTAATTGCTTTCTGCAACTCACTCTCAACATCACTAGCCCGATTCCCATCCGAAGCATTCTTCTTCACGTCTTTCTTCGCATTCTCTCCCCCACTCTTCCTCCTATTCCTCCACTCCTCAAATCCCCCTGAATTCGAATTCTCAACCACCTGCACACCTACAAACTCTCTCTCACCAGCACCATGCCTAACCGCATTCCCCATCGTCATTTCCTCAAACCTTTGTTTCATCTCTCTATTCTCTCTCTGCAGCATCTCCAGCTCCTTTTTCATCCAAAAACACATACCTTTCAACAGCTCCGTTTCGCCTAAATTCTCACCCTTCTTCTCCTTCACCTCCTTAACTTCATCAACTCTCTTAATCCCAATCTTATTCACACTTAAAAACGGCATCCTATTCCCCAAATCCTTAGGGAAATTCACACCCCAACGACAATCCATCGTCACACTTTTCGTCAAAGGCATTTCTGTTTTAGCCATCACAGCAATCCCCTTAAAGACAGAATCTTTAGCATAATCCTCCACTGAGAAGTCCTTAAAACTAGATGGCCTCTCCAAAGGAACAAACCCAAAGGAATTCCCCTCTCCATTCAGCTTACCCACAGAACTAGAATTACAACCCGGATCGGAAGTAGTGCTTTTACGAAGTGAAAAAGAACCCAATTGGGGTTTGAATAGAAGGGTAAAAGTGGGATATTGATTAGGTTGAAGAGGGGAAAAGGAAAAGTTAGCAGAAATGACTAAAGGTGAGTTCTTGGGAGACCCAAAAACCCCAATTCCAGATTTGAGGGTGAGAGTTAAAGGAGGGGTAGTGGTGGTTGCGGTGGGGGAGACAGTGGAGTAGGAGAGTTTAAGGGTGGGGCCAGAAGAGAAGTTGGTGGCAAGAGCAAGGGAGAGATCAGAAGGGTGGTGGGTGGTAGTGGAGAAGCAAGAAAGGAAAGGAAGGTTAAAAATGGAAATGGGGATTTTGGCACGGAGGAGAAGAGGGTGAGTTTGTGGTTGTTTTTGGTGGTTTTGGGGTTGAGATTGGTCTTGGAGTTTCAGTGAGAGCTTCATCTTTTTTTCTCTTTTCGTTTTTTTCTGGGGCACTTGGCTTACCAAGATTGTGAAGTAGAGAAGCTATAGGAAAACGCCATGTCTGTTCATGTTGTCAAGTTGATGCTGATTGGCTTTAACTATTGGGCCTAAAACATAATTTTTAAGACCCGACCCATTCAAGTTGATGCTGATTGACCTAAATAGTCACCCAACCACAAAACCAAAATAATAGCCGGTTTGGCCAAGCTGGAGAAATCAGCTTATTTTGAGAAGTGGTTTTTTCAAAAGTGCTTTTGAAAAAAGTACTTTTGGAGAGAAGCAGTTTATGCTTGGCTAATCAATTTGAAAAACA